AGACAAAAGGAGAGCTTTCTATAGAATAAATATTAATAAGTGGGATCAAGATGGTAAAGCATTTTTCTGAGTGTTACAGGAGATAACACATGGCTTTGTCAGTGTGATCCTGAAGACAAAGCACCATCCATGCAATGGCTACTAAGAGGTGAATTGGTCCAGTCAAAGCAAAAGCAGACCAGTCATTAACAAAGGTCATCCCAACAGTTTTTTTGGGATGCTCAGGCATTTTGTTTAACTTTCTGGAAGGTAGAAGAACAATATTGTTGTTAAGTGCCATCAGGTTGGTTCCAACCCATAGCAACCCTGTATAGGGTTTCCAAGGAGTGACTCTGGTAATGGTTAACTTCAACCACTAACATTGTGGTTCAGACTGACTTTGTAGTCCAGCATACTAGCCCACAGTGCCACACCTGGACTCCCCAAACAATACTTGTTTTAAGTGCCGTCTAGTCAGTTCTGACCCATAGCGACCCTGTACAGGGTTTCTAAGGGTGTAAATCCTTGTTGTTGTTGTTAAGTGCCGTCGAGTCGGTTCCGACCCATAGCGACCCTGTACAGGGTTTCTAAGGGTGTAAATCTTTACGGGAGTAGAAAGCCTCATCTTTCTCCCGCGGAGCGGCTGGTAGTTTCGAACCGCTGACCTTAAGGTTTGCAGCCCGATTTGTAACCACTACGCTACCAGAGCTTCCAAACACTACCATCTGCTAATTATGAGAATGTTTGGAGAAAGCCAAAGCTTTGCAGATAAGTGCCCAGGAAAGTTCACCATAGTTCTTATCCACTACAATAATCCGGCTCATTCCTCTTATGAAACAAGAGCAATTTAGGTAGAGTTTTTATGGGAAACAATTATAAAGTCCTGATTTGGCTCACTCAGACTTCTAATCTCAAAACATCTTTAAAGGGCATCCATTTTTCTTCAGTTAATAATGTAAAAAAAGACTACAGTGACCTCGTTAAACTCCTAGGACCCTCAGTCCTTATGATGAACTTAAAGGTTACAATCATTGCTAATAAATGTTTGATATTGATGAAGCATATGTTGAGAAATAGCTTGCATTTAAAATTTTTATCTTTTAATTACATTTTCCCACATTTTTAAAGTTCTTTCATATTTGGGGGGACACAATTATCATAGATTTGTGGGGACACTATTATAATTGATACTCGGAAAGTGTTAAAACCACTAAGAAAAACCCAGGTATGATATGTTGAATGTAAAACTGATGATCTTGTGATGTAAACCTCCACTCAATTCACAATAAAGTTAAAAAAAAAGCAAGCCAGATAAAAAAGGCAAAACACACCAAAAGTACATCACAAGAAGACAACCAAGAGGTTCAGTGAACATATCAAAAGATTTTAACTGCTTTAGTAATGAGAGAAATGCAAATTAGAATTACTGTAACATACTTGGGAGTCCTAGTGTGGTGCTGTGGGTTAATGCACTGGACTGAAAGTAGGTTTGAATCACAAGGTATATGGTTCAAGCTCACCAGCCACTCCTTGGAAACCCTCCCTATACAGGGTCACTATGGGTCAGAACTGACTTGGTGCACAAAACATGACATACTTAATATTCACACCTGCAAGACTGTAAAAATATTTAAAAGACTATATAACATTAGGGAAGTGCAGTGGCTCTGTAAAAGTGCTAAACTGCGAACCAGTTTGTAGTTCAAGCCCAAGAAAGATGAGGCTTTCTGTTCCCACAAAGATTTACAGCCTTGAAAACTCTATACAATGTTGCTATGAGTCAGAACAACTTAATGGCACTAACAAGAAATATAAAACTATGTAATATTGGAGTTCTGGTGTGGAGCTACAGGATAATGCATTACACTGCAAGGTCAGTGTGAATCGCAAGGTCAGTGTGAATCGCAAGGTCAGTGTGGTTGAAGCCCACCAGCCACTCCTTAAAAACAGACTTGACGACACTTAACAACAACAAATATTGGTGAGGATGTGGAGCAATATTCTTATATGCTACAAGGTGGAAGTGTGAAAGTAACTAATAAACTTTTAATGCAAAAACCCTAATATCCAGCAAATTCACTTTTGAGGAAAACCCACCAAACTTGTATGCACATAAAACAGAACATGTTAGTAGAAGCATGGTTTTTAACAGCCAAAAACCTGGAAATAGTTCCAAAGTCCATCAACAGTATAACAGATAAATTGTTGTTATAATTATACCCTAGAATACCATATAGTACCCAGTCCAGATAAAGGAAATTTATCTGGCACAGACTGGTTAACTAATGGGTTTGAACAAATAAAATAACTACAAAAAAAAAAAAAGGGTGTTCAAGAAATATAATTCTAGTATATTACACATAGCCTGGCTGTGAGAATTTTTATAACCATAATGAAGTAAACATTAATACTATCGAACCCTCTCTGAAGAATGATCAGTAGATGAAATAAAAAGGGATTAAAGGAAACTCAAACTGAAAAAAGGAAAAGAAGAAAAAGAAAAGCAAACAAAAAGTGTAAATAACACAAATTGGGAAGAATAAATTCATTAAGACTGTAATGGCAAAAGTAAAGTGATCTAACAGCAATAAATGGAAACAACTCAGACTATAGAGGCGTTATTGTTTTATACCATGGAATTCATTCCAAGTCACACAGACCCTAAAGAACAGAGCAGAGAATTGCCCATAGGGTTTCTGAGGATGTAATGTTACAAAGAGAGTAACAGGAATTTCACCCATGAACCCACTTGCTGATATGTACAAACAACAGACCTTTCAGTTAGCAGCCAAACGCTTAACCACTGTGACATCACAGGCTAACAGACTGGTTTAAAAAAAAAAAAAATTAAGCTATATAATTTATTATATACCAGAACATAAGACCAGCTGTGATGAAAAAGAATGCTCCCTTTGTCAAAGCCTCAAAATTTATTTAGGATTTGTTAAATGCCATCAAGTCAGTTCCGACTCAGTGACCCAGTATATATAGGGTTTTCGAGGAGTGGCTGTTAAGTTTGAACAGCTGACCGTGTGGTTCAAATCAACCTTGAAGTCGAGTGCTTATTCTAAAGCACCATACCAGGACTCCACAGATACTCTTATAGTTATGATTTATATTAACAGTATCTGAAACTGTTCCGCATCTTGGTGGGCCCTATTTTATTAACAATCTCTGCTATTGTTGTTAATGTTGAGTGCTGTCAAGTTGGTTGTGACTTATAGTGACCCTGCTGTATGTACAAGGTTTCCGATGAGCATCTGGTGAATTTGAACCACTGATCTTGTGGTTCACAGTCCAGTGCTGATCCTATAGCACCACACCAGGAGTCTAAGCTCTTTAATAAAAAAAATTATTCTAGTTTTAAATTTTGCATTTCCCCAACTAGTAATGGAATTGAGCATCTTTCCTTTTAAATGATCATATGGACTTCCTTTGTGAATTGCCCGTTCATTTCTTGGGTCTATTTTTCTATTGGGCTTTTTATTCATTTAAAATTATTACTAATTCTGTAATTTCTTTTAAATTTTTATTTTCATTGCCTTAGGTATAAATATCCAAAACAATGTTGAATTGTGACATTATTTCTGTCTCCTAATGGAAACAGCTACAATATTTCTGATAAAGACTTTAATGTTTCCTGTTGATTTTATTAACATATTTAAGTTGTTTTTGTTAAGTGCCATGGAATCAGTTCCAACTCATAGCAACCCTGTATAGGTTTCCGAAGAGCAGCTGGTGAGTTTGAACCACTGACTTTTTGGTTCAAATCAACCTTGAGGTCGAGAGCTTATCCTGTGGTGCAACACTAAGACTCCACATATTTAAGAGATGGATGCAGTGTGGAAAGGGGTATTTGATAGAGTTCCTGGCCCTACATGGAGTTCCTATTGTTGTTGTTGTTGTCAAGTGCCGTCAAGTCTGTTTTGAACCACCAACCTTGTGTTTCAAACAATTTTGCAGTCCAGTATATTAACCAACAACACTACACCAGGACTATACTTAAATTGTTGCTGTTGTTAAGTGCCGTAGAGTCAATTCCGATCCATAATGACCCTATATAGCGTTTCCAAGGAGCAGCTGTTAAGCTTGAACCACCAACCTTGCAGTTCTAATGACTTTGCACACACCAGGACTCCAAGATATGTAAGTAGCTTCATTTTACTTCCGAGGTTTTTTTTTTTTTTCATTAGGAATGGTTGCTTTACTATCAAAAACTGCCTTTTTTGTGTGCTAATGAACCACACTGTTAAATGCTTCACTATTAAAATGTATTAGTATCACTAAATATATAGATATTTCCAAGTAAGGATAGAAAAACAATTTATTAATCATTACAAAATTAATTTTTTAAATTTAATTGCTCCTCCTATACACACAGGTAATAAAATATAAACATGAGTTTATAGTAACTTACTTAAAAAAGGAATTAAATAAATCAAAAGATAAAGTAAGTTAGTGCTGCATTTATTATTTTGTTTTTGTAAAATGCATTTTCAGAAATGTTTTCTTCAAAACAGGCGCTACAAAAATAAATATAAAACAAATATACATTTTTACATATGTTACTTGTAACATAAATACATATATATATATACATGTTCAAAATTTCAAAAACTCTAGCATGTTTTGTCCATGATCACAACATGTCTGAGACGTAAGGAAATCATAAAACCACAAATACACCACACACCACTTCAAAGACTGCATTTAAAAGACTGTTTCACATACCACTTTTGCATTTAAAAGACTGTTCAATACAAATATCTGAGTACGTTTAGGAGTGTGTTCTAAGAGCAAAGCTAGGCTTCCAATCAATCAGTTTTACCCTGTATCCAATACATTTTAAAGTGATTCAGATTTCATTCTTTTTGTTTTCTAATTTGAATATATCTGTATGGTACAGATTAAAATTATCTTTAGTAGAAAGGCTTTCTGAAGAAATTATTAAATAAAAAGTCAATTTACTTGAAAGCCAACAAAGTTATTTATTAAACTTATATGCCTAAAAATAGTTTTAATCAATGAAAAGTAGGAGTTGGATTAGAAAACATCAAAAGAATGGAAGACAGACACTGTAATTTCTGTTTGATGTATTCTGGTAATTTTTCATTTTCTCCATACCTATGTGAAGGAAAAGAAAATAATTAACAACTCAATCACTTGATTTTTATCAAAGTACCCAAAGATTCATCATGTTTTTCAGTAATTCTTCAACGACAAGTGATAACTTCAGAAAAATTATACAATATCAAAAGATATTTAAAGAAAATTACGCATACCCAGTTTCATGTTAAAAGAGACCAAATTCTAAGTGCATTTAAATACTATAAAATACTTTACCCATATACTACAACTAGCTTTATAATTTCTAAAGAAAACTGAATATCCAGATTTCACATTAAATCTAAGGCCCTAGTTCTAAAGAAAATATGAACTAAACATAATGTGAATACATTTTTATAGGAATGGAAATAATTTTCAAGTGATCATTATCAAATAAAATTCAAACAAATGTCCTTAAGACATAAGTTCTACTCATTTTACATTTGCATTCTTCCATATTTTGGATCATTTAAAAGAGCTTTTAATGAAGCCTCTCATTAGAATAGTTTTAAAGTAATGGCACTATATAAATATTCATATTTAACAACAAAAACATCCCTAGATACCCACAAATTATACTTGCCAAATACGTCCTCTACAATAAGCATTTCTCACCAAGTAGCATGTTTGTATTGGTATCATCTACTTTATGTAGAAACCAAACTTCTGGTTATTCCTATTGCCAGATTTTTTTACCATGGTGCCTGGCACACATTTGCATAAAGAATGAGTATGTACATTCAAAATAGCCTTTCATACATTAGTCACTTTATATTAGATTAAGTGACAAAGTCAAGACATATAACTTAAGAATAACACAAACACTATCAAAGTACAAACACTCTCTTTATTAAATCATTTTAACATGCAGAGAAAAAAAATATATAGCAAAGGACTGAATCTCAGCAGCACTTTAAGAACTTACCTAGTTGTGTGACCATTTGGTGATGTGTAACTGATAGAAGACACTCCTGCCTGCACGACCAGCTGGGACCCATCATTAAACTGAACCCACACAGCTCCACTAGTTAACTAGAAAAACAGTAAGCACAAAAATTTAGGCACTAGAGGATTTCAGGTTCTTACAAGGTACTCTAGTTATGTATAGTTAAAAACAACACACAGACACACAAACAAATAAACACCCTTTCAGTTAACTACAAATTTGGGACTGGGATGATAATTGCATTGAGAACATTCAGATTATTTTTCAGATTTAATAGCTATAATATTAAAATATTGATTATTTCTTCCTGTTTATTTCCATTAGAATATTTAGTTATCTTTTAGTTTTTTTCACATAATAAAACTAGCTAAGAAGAGACTTAGGAAATAATAAAAACACTTTCTTAAACAGGATTTCACTGTTTTCTGTGCTTATACCACTGAAGTTCCACTACTGTCAGATATACTGCTGGAAAATGAGTCCTTTATTTATGTAGGAAGGCACTCAAAATATGAATGGGAAGACCTGCCCCTCAAAGTAGAGTTGACTGGTGACACGAATGGAGCTGATGAGGCAGAACTCAAAATGAGGAAAAACAGCTGTAAACATCCATTAATAATCAGAACATGGAATGTACAAAGTATAAACCTAGGAAAACTGGAAGCTGTCAAAAATGAAATGGAATGCAAAAACATCAATATCCTAGACCTTAGTGAGCTGAAATGGACTGGTATTGGCCATTTTGAATCTGACAATAACACAGTTGACTATGCCAGGAATGACAAACTGAAGAGGAATGGCGTCTGATTGATAATCAAAAAGAACATTTCAAGATCCAACCTGAAGTACAATGCTGTCTATGATAGGATAATATTCACATGCTTTCAAGGAAGACCAGTTAATAACATAACTATTATTAAAAAACGCACACCAACCTCTAAAGACAATGATGATGAAACTGAAGAATTCTAACAACGTCTTCAGTCATTGGTAAATATGGCCTTGGTGATAGAAACGATGCTGGAGATTGCATGGTAGAATTTTGCAAGACCAATGACTTGTTCATTGCAAATACCTTTTTAAACAACATAAAAGACAACTATACACATGACCTCACCTGACAGAATACATAAAAATCAAACTGACTGTATCTGTGGAAAGATAAGATAGAAGCTCAATATCTTCAGCCAAAACCGGCAAGGGGAGACTGTGGAACAGGCCATTAATTGCTCATATACAAGTTCAGGCAGAAGCTGAAGAAAATTAAAGTAAGTTCACAAGAGAAAAATATGACTTTGGGTCCTCCGAGCGCCAGGCTGAGCAGGCTGCATGCGCAGGCCCACCTCATCCGACCATATCACCGTACGTCCCGCCTTGGGCTCAGTAGTCTGCCAGCCAGCACTGGTCCCAGCCTCTGGCGGCTCTGCTCTCTGGTCTGCATAGTACCTGGTAGTTCCGGCTATGACCGTCTCTGGGGCGCCAAGCTGCAAGCCACTTTGATGGCTTATCAGTGGCATGGTCGGCCGTTGGCTGCTGCTCGCCAAGCCCTGTGCGAGGTCCCTCCTACCTCCTACCCCTATCTCTGCACCTCCAATGCAGCCACGAGCTGGCCACTGAGTGTGTTCACATTAACAGTCCACTTCGTAAACCATGAAAGTGATGGTGTAGTTGAAAGTAATCTAGATATTGATGGGTTTGGTGCCTGTGAGGGAACTTTGGCTTGCTCTACCTGTCACCTCATCTTTGAAGATCATATATATGAGAAATTAGACACAGTGACGGACGAAAGCAATGACATGCTTGATCTGGAGTATGGACTAACAGACAGAGCATGGTTGGGTTGCCAAATCTGCTTGACAACGTCTGTGGACAACATGACTGAGGACCCAACGTGCTGGTGGATGCTAGACAACCCACTGATATGAACAAGATATCTTAAGCAAATAAACCTGAATGTTTTCATGAAAGCTTACCTATTTTGATAATTGTTATTTCTTAATGTAATTAAATGGGAATATGGATGGATTTGTTATTATAACCAGCTTTACTATTTTAATTCCCCTTGGATTTTTGTAGTTCTGATAGTATGTATTCTTTATTTTGGTTAAATTACACAATGTCAACCAAATATCAGAAAACAGTTTGACTGTCTAGCAACTTTTAGCAAAATGTTTTCATTTAGATTTACCTTTTAAAAGTAAATTCAAAAAGACATATTATCGGAGAACAAACAAGATGGCGGATTGGGTGGACATGTAGCAGAGAGCTCCGCCAACAACAACACAGACTACGCGACCAAGCAGGCTCAGGGTATGGTCCCAGAACTCTGAACCACATATAAAGGAATACTTAGAAGGTTGAAAGGCTCACAGCTGGGGGAATTTGTGGCAGAAGCAAGAAATCTATTGCTTTCTAGTCCGGGACGCTTAGCTGCTCCAGGAGCCGCCATCTTGGATAAGACCACGTGGGGGAAGGATTGGAGCGGCCACAGATGCCTGGCAGAACCGCTGAGATAAAGGTGTGGACATTCTTTTCTTTTGGTAGCTGTTCATTGGTCCCTTGCTGTCTGCACACCTCCAATTCTGGTGACTATAGGGGTACCTGAGCTAGTGGGCACCCCAGCCCCACCCTCGGAGGGTTCTACTATGCATGTGCACAGATCTCCTTGAAATTTAAAGAGACAGCTTCCAATTAAAACCAAATGGCCACAGCCGGCCCTGAACTGTTTCCAACAAGAAAAAAGGCCTGAACGGGAATTGGGGAGTGGGACAAGCAGACAAAAGAGGAAATAGGCTGAAAATTAAATCCTAACTTACGTCAAAACGACCAACAGTGGTATCTTGAAACTTCTCAGGAAGAAGAGTGAAAAGGGAAGCCCATTTCCTGATCACATCTACCTGGAGGCATTCAGAA